ATAACGATCATATTTTTCATTTTTGTGATTAAAAAATGGGAATCAAACGAGTGCATAATTTCACCTTTCATTTAATCTATCATCTGATGTCACCTAAATCGAAGTTACAATTTCAATGAAACTACATAACATTACTCATAATATATTTCATACAAAAGCGGCAGGCAAAAAAATTAGAATGAATTTTGAGACGGATGGGGTATTTAAAGACATTTTAGAGACTAAATTGAGGAGAGGGTATTCACCAAACATAAATACTATGTCCTCCCATGCAAGCTATATTGCTTACACTTGTTAGGATTGGTCCTGCAAATTAAATGCTCCTATACACGTTTGTTTTTTGTTGTTTTTTAATTTTTATTTATTTATTTATTTTTATTTTTATTTTTGTGGATTTTGTCTTGATTTTGGAATACCTTTTTTATGGGAAATATTGTTTTTGTTTTTTTTTTTTTCAATTTACATAAGTTGAATTGGCTCTAAAAATTGATATATGGGTATAAATTGGTAAAAATATCAAATTAATGAACGTTGACTAAAAATATAAATATGCATGGCATGTCTCATGATTGAGATTTAAATTTAAAATTTATTTCCGAACGAAATCTTTTTAAATGCACATACTAAAATATTATTTAATTAAATATTAATAAACAATCTCTTTATTGCGATTGTTTGTGGTCAATGTCCGCCCTAACTCACTCCTATTCCTGAATTCATCCCTTGATCTACTGTTACAAAATGATCTGACTGCTGATATTGTGTAATATACGCTTTGTCATGGCGGCCCTAACTATAAGCTTGGTAGACGACCGTCTAAGGCCTACTTAGTAAGGGCTCCAAATTAGGTAAAATTAATTGGTTGATTAAAGAAAAAGAAAATTATATTTATGAAATTTTTTATAATAGATTTATCAAGATACAAACACCAAAAACTAATAAAAATTGTAAATACAAAAATCTTTGGAACAAACATATAAATGGCATAAAATTTATCACTTACATTATTTATTATATAAATATATCACAAACATTACTATCTCGCTATAAGTAATTTGACCATTTATCTTCCAAACATGCCTTTTATTTTCTTAATCAAAACAAAAATGTCTTTTTGTCTCTTCAAATTCTACGTCCAACAGTAATCCACCATAATTTTTTTTAATCCAATAAGAAATGAACAATCTCACTTTAAATTAAATTTTTGAATATTCAATTTAGCATATTGGTCTAATCTCACTGCCATCATTACAGTCTCAAAGATTTCTTTCTTTCTCCATTATTTTCAACACATATATTCAGAGTACATAGACCGTTATGATCATTGTTTTGCTTTAATCTCATTATAATAGCATTTTAAGATGTTTGTTGAAGGTACTTTGTATTTAATAATCATTTATCTGTGTTCATGCTTCTTATTTGTAAGTTAATTTAGTATGAATTAAGTAAAATTAGAAGATCATTTGTATTTGATCTTCATTTTCATTATTTTGTCATATTATCTCTCACACACTACACCAAAAATGGTCTATTGCAACACATAAAAGACAGTGTTCGATAGTTAAGTGCCGCTAAAAGGGTTTATTGCAACA